TCAGAAGCAGAGGACAGTGTTTCATCACTAACGAGGTCGTGGAGACCAGCAATGGTACCCAATGGTCCATCTCGAACAGAAACCAGTTCTACAGCTCTCAAAAGGAACTTTTCTGCTTCTTTCTGTTCAAGTTCTGGATCAAAACTGCAGCGGGACAAGAAAATAGCAACGTCTCTTGCCATAATTGTCTGTGTGTTTACCATTTGCTGGGCCCCATACTCTTTATTAATGATTATCCATGGGTTTTGCCAAGGAAAGTGCATCCATAAGTCCCTCTATGAAGCAACGTTTTGGCTTTTGTGGATCAATTCCTCTTTGAATCCATTTCTTTACCCTCTCTGCCATATGAGGTTTCGAATGGCTTTTCTGAAAATATTATGTCCCAAAAAGTTTGCAGCATTGAGATCTGGTAACACGCCTTCTATTTAGCAAGGTAAAAGGAATGTCTTACAGATAAGGTTCCTCTGTCATTTAAGTGATACCTTTTCATATGTGTTGTTGGCATGAATAGAGAAAAAACCTCTTTGTTTACTAATGACATTGTCTAAGAGTGCAGCAGAGTTATGTAGTTGCCCCAATATTGCTAATTTTCAGGATCTCATTTTTGGTTTTGCTGGTATGATGCTAGATTAATTACCATCTAGTGGATTGAAAAGAATAATGAGCTTTGCTGAATGTTCTCTTGCTTTGTGGGTGTGAGGTATATTTTTTTCTTTCTTTTTTTTTCTTTCCTTTGTTTAATATATAGAGCTGGCACTGTGAAAGAACTCTGCTCTTGCTATTTTCATAGAGAGTCACTGGAGGGAGATACTTGTTCATGTATGCGTTGAATTAAAATTTATGTTCTATTTATGAATCTAAAGCTGTCAGTGAAGAAGTAATACTACTACATTTTTCAAAGATTGTAAAAATACTCACAGAAGCAGTATATTTTCATATCATAAACTATTATGAAGACAAGAGAGTGCCCTCTCCTTGTTAGAATCCCCACAGTGAGCAATATGCAAGTGAATGGAATGCCTAACCTGCCATATCTGTCTTTTTCAGGTTTTAATGTAGCTCATACCTGGCATTGCAGGACAAAGTACATGTAAGTTAGCAATTCTGAATGATTTTTAGAGAATGAAATTTTCCATGCTATGAGAATTTTGAGACTGGTTATCAAAAGTATCAGACGCAAATGGTTGTTAGTTTTTTCACCTATACCGGTTTTTCACCTGACATTGGCTGCCCCTTTGGTCATGCTTAAATGATATTTAGTGCCAGATTTGTGCACTATGTGATTGCCTAAAAGATAGGCCAGGCTTGGGCACATGATCACATTCCTGTTGAATTAGCAGAGCAAGCAATGCTAAGTTCATACTGGATTTTTGATTTTGGCTGGCTATGCAAGAATAGACAATAGCCTATCCGGTGTAAAGCTTTGCAAGTGCAAAGATATTCCATCAAAATGTCTGGAACAAATTTGATCTGACAGAGTGATTTTTTATACTAGATCAGTGCTTTATGTCCTGTTACTGTGACATTATATGGATTTTCTCTGCCACAGAACAAATATCAAACTTGATTTTTTCAATTAGGGAGCAAGGGCCGTATTCACTGCTTGAGAATGAGATTTACAGAGGTCTGGAAGCTGATACAGAGATGTTTTAAGCAGCTCTTAACAAACAAAGCAGTTGAATGTCCAGTGCTGAAAGGAGTGAGTAAATGTCTTGGAGGAAGCAATGGAGCTTGATTACACCCCATTCCATGTGCCAAACTTTCTTACCATGTGTTGAGTGTTGCAACTCACCCAGAAAGCTTTCATGGATGGGTAAGTGAGAGTCACTGGCTGCATTTTTCTCTCTCCTTTTGTGTAATTTTATTCCTCTTTGTTTATGTATGAAATATTGAAAGAGAAATCTGATGCACAGAACAATGAAGAGCAGTAGTCAATTTAAATGGTTTTTAATCTAATTTGAAATTTGCTGTAGAAGTGTTGCCATAACAGAGTACTCCTTTGCAAACACAATTCAAATGCATGGAAGCAGCTTAATGATAGCACAAAAGTTGATGGCTTTGAAGAGCTAGAATGTCTTTTTGTTCAGAGGTCTGGAACTGAAGGCTTCTCTTGCCAGTTTTCACGCTGCTGGAAGATTATCTTTCACCATTCATTCTCGATATGCTTCCTTGCCTCACATGGAGAGTGTTACGTATTGTGAGCATAATGGCTAGGAGAGGTGCAGCTTCAGGAGGAGGTCATTGATTCAGTACAGCTGTTTTTACTGTCATGAGCTGTGGTGCAGGCATAGATTTTGTGGGGTTTGCTTTTCTGTGATGCTTAAAAAAATCTAAACACACACATAGAGTTAAAACATTTATAGAAGAGCTCGTGTACTAAACATCTGTTAAATAGAGAAACTGAAGATGGGCCCAAGACAAAAATGTGTTTGTGTTGTCTGCATTCTATCCCCTATGCTTTTAGTATAAAAATTCAGTTTGCATTTTGTGCTAAAAGAATGTATTGTTCATTTTGGAAAAATAACCTAGAAAATTATTACCTAGATAAACTAGATAATCCACGTTTTTTCCAGCAGTGCTGGAAAGCTAGTTAGTCAGGGAATTTGCCAGGCAGCACAATCTGCAGTGAATTTGAAACAACATAGCATGGTGAAGCTACTAGAGATCAGTGTTTTTTGGAGTCTGTTTTACACACACACTATTCAAACTGTTTTCTCATGTCACTCCTGTGTATTAGATGCATTTGTTGTATTTTTCTAATTGTTGAAAATTTTGCTAATTTCTCCCAGGGTAAGTCAAGCACTGGGTTGCTGTGCCCACCACTTTAGGTCAGTGACATCATAAATATTCTCCCTTGTAAATTACAAATGAGACATTTTTCAAGGTTGTGGTATGATACTTATTCAGCATTTGTTCTTATGCCCCCATTCAAGTGGATGTTTCTTGACAAATGGTTTTCTAACCCAGATCTTTCTAACCAGTCACTCATCCATTTCACTATTTCATGTCCTTAAATTTTCTTCTGTCTTTGCAGATGTTCAGTAGGCCTTCTAAATAGATGGTGACAGTAGCTATATGGGCTTCAACGTTGTGGGCTTCAACTCAAACCACACCAGTTTTTTTCTAATCTGACCCTCTCATATTTAAAAGAAAAAAAAACACTCAACAAATAAAAATGCATGTTGGAAGAAATTGTGTTATCTTTTTTTTTGTTTATTTCTGAAACAAATATTGAATGCTAATGATTCTCCTAATGTCCATGTCCTTTATTTTCCAAAGGAAATACCACATAGATTTCCCCCTGAGTGCCACACAGAAGAACTATGATTAAAACTTCAACATTTGATTTATTCCCTAATTATAAAGGCAAATGACTACATTCCCCTTGTCCACTAATTCAGTAATTTTATCAAAGAAGACAACCAAGTTGCTCAGGCATGTTATACCCTTGGTAAGTCCATGCCAACTATCCCTAGTCACCTTCTCCTCCCCCAGGTCCTCAGAAACACCTTTCAAGGGGACTCACTCCATTATTTTCCCAAGGAGTAAAGACAATCTGACATCTTGTCTTTGTGGCAACATTTGAAAATCAGTTTTCTGATTTTCTTCTTTCTTCAGTGGTTGGGAATCTCCCTTTATGACCATTCTAAGAGGATAGAAATTGGCCTTGCAAAGGTAGTAGCTGGTTCTCTTCATAGCACAGTGGGTTCCATGGACTTTTATGGGTCAAGTCCCCTCAAGTAATCCTGTCTTATTCTCACCTGCTTGTGACAGTTCTCATCCTTGAACTCATTCACTAAGCATGGAAGAAAGGGAGACCTAGATAGTGATGAATGAAGCTAAGGAAGCATTGGGTACCTCAGCCTTATCTGCACCTGCTGTCACTGGATTACTGGTCCCATCCAACAAGCTACCCATATTTTTGTTATTCACCATTTTGCTCCTAATGGGGTGGCTGAAGTTCTCTGTGTTGTTTTTGATGTCCTTTACAAACATCAACTATAGGTGAGCTTTTGTTTTCCTAATATCATTCTTATGTTGCCAGACAACATTTCTAAATATCTCCTTTGTATTCTGTCCCTCCTTCAAACTCCTTCATGTTCTCTTTTCACATTGTAGTCTCCAGGGTTAGCTACTGTCATGATACATCTGCTTGCTTTCTTGAGAGCAGGGATGGACTATTCTTGTGCATGGACGTTGCTGTCTTTAGAGGCCTGCAGCTTCCTTGAGCTCCTTGTCTTTTGGATCTGCTCCCGTGGGATTCCCACTACCACTTTTCTAAACAGAAATCTGCTCACCTGAAGCCCATGGTCTGCACTGCTGCTCTCCTTCCTCATCCCCTTTAGGATCTTGAGTTCTACTACCTCATCATCACTACAGCTGAGTCTGGCACTGACAGCACATCCCCACACAGCCCCTCTTTACCACCGAGCAGGTGTTTCAGTTGTGCATCACCCCCATTAGCCCATGCAGGATTTGTGTCTGAAAGTTCCCCCTGACAGCCTCCAGGAACCCTGTTCACTGCTAGACCTGTTGTGTTGCACTTCCAGCAGATGCCATGAACACTGAAAGTCCTACATAAGAAGTGGGTTCTGTGGTCCAGAAGCTTTCTTGAATTGCTTCAAGAAGATTTCATCACCTCCCTCACCCTGAGCTCTGCAATGTGCTCTCACCATAATGTCACCCATGTCAAGCGTGGCTTGGTGGCTGCACAGGAAGATCTAGTACTTCCCCTTTGCTTCCCAGGCTGCAGCTGGGCACACACACCTAAGGCAGCTGTGTCTCGCTGCCACATTTTGCCATTCCTGAGGTCTCTTCTTTTTCTGTCATGCTACACCTTTTGCTTTAATGGCTCTTTACAACATAATTCCCTCTGTTCCTCAATAAGGTAGCAGAGCACTGCATCTTTCCTCCCCACATTTTGCCCACTCTCTCTTTCCTTGTTCCTTGCCCTATATCTTCCCAAGTACCTGGCATTATGGCTGCAGTTTGAAATGCTGGTCACTCAGTGTGCTGTGGTGCTACAGTGTCAGTGAGTGTCAGCCACAGCCATGGACTACCAAATTCTGTGCACTCCCACCAAAATAAATGGAGTTGTGATGAGGAAGGCATATCTTTTCTCACACCGGAAAAGGGCTAAAGGCTTGGTACCTCATGGAGTTAAAGCTTGTCAAGGATTACTTGAAAGGTGCAGGATTAGATGGGCTACACCATAAAGACCTCCAAAGTCCAAGTATTTGGTTTATTCTGCCCAGAACTTCTGGTTAGGGTGAGCTGAAGAGGTATTGGTGATGCTTCTGCTGCATGGAACTGTATTACAAATGCTCTGTAAACAGCAACACTAAGAGATATCTCTCTGTTGTTAACTGTAAGATTTAAAAAACAGTGTAGCAACAAGTGCAAAAGTGTTTACATTTTACTTTAAGGGAAATAGAATTGTAATAATTTTAATCCTGTTCACCACTGTGGAGGTGAAAATGAGATATGGCTTCAGCACAATTTGATGTGCAAAACCACTCACACATTGCTAATATGCAAGCTGCTTGACTGTGAGAAGAGTTGTTCCATGTCCAGGAAAGAAACTGATTGTGAGGTGTCTTTTCTAAGGCCAATAGGTGCATTCAAATCAAGAAATGTTAGAGAACCCAGGTCTTCAGTTCTTGTATTCCAGTTTTTTGGTATTGTGAATATTTTCTTTTTATGTTTCAGTATTCAGCCCAGCCTGTTAATAGACTTATCTCAACCTTTTGGATAACTTTGCCAGACACAACTTCCTTCCCGGACTGACCTGGCCTGGACACCCACCATGCACAATTGCACCGCCGAAATTCCGCACGCTGCTGAGACACATAGCGAGACTTGGTCCAGCCAGGTGCCGAGCTCCGAGTTCTCCCTGGGTGTGTTGGCACTGCTGGCTTTCCTCATGGTGTTGCTGTGTCTGGTGACCATCCTTGGCAACATGCTGGTGATCCTTGCTTTCATTATGGACAGGAACCTGAGGCATCGGAGTAACTATTTCTTTCTGAATCTTGCTGTTTCTGACTTTGCAGTGGGTAAGTGAGAGCTGTGGAGCCCTGTGCTAATTGTGTTGTAGGACTCTTAAGAGAAGCACTAGTGTTTATTTTCTGTGTGTTTTCTTCTGAGAGAACTATTTCCCAGCTGTGTTTGGGGGAAGGATGGGGAATGGTGGAACACTTCAAGCTACATGAAGTGTTTCAGCAGGCTATCATTTTTTAGAAAATAAAGGATGCTTTGTATAATGTTTCAGGATAAAATATTACTATGGGAATTTTATGGTCTAACAAAGAATGGGAGCTGTTTGTGAAGAGTTCTGGCTGAAATTTAGATGGTCTAATCAAATACAGCCTACATTGTCTGACAGCTCTTGCATACATGATCAATATCTTCTCTTTCAGTCTATCACACAATACAGATCATTACCTGAAATGTTACTAAATAGCAATGAACGCTATTTTTAAGCATTTTGCTGTACATGCTCTATATAGAGAAATACCTTAGGAATATGTGTTTGTGTAGACAAATAAAAAATTACAAATAAAGCAATTTTTAAGTTTGATGCTACATGTGTATTTATACATAGGGACACATTTAGTTTTGAAACTTTTACTGAGAAAAAGTACAATTAAAACAGGAGTGTGATGTTCAGTTGGAGACTGAGCTATTGCAATATTCTGTGAATTGTTGGGTGTCTTTCCAAAAACCTTGGTTAAATTACTGAGTGTATAGAATGATGGTTTTAAACAGTTGTGGCTATTTAATGAAATCTTTATCCTGACTTGTCATATCACAACAATTTTTAAGTCCACTTTTAAGAAGTATACTGAAAGAGCAGAAGAAACTTTTTTTACAAATTTTTTTGCCAGTGCCAGAAGTTCTGTCAGGGGCACAGCTTCTAATAGTCCTATCCTTGTGATGTCCATATCTTCTTGCATAATGTTTTGATACCTCCCTGCATATGCTTGATGTCTTCTTCCAGCTTATTTCTCCCTTGCTGTGCTACAGAGCTCTTGCTGCCTGTTCTCCTGTTACAGTGCACTGGAAAAAAATAGAGCAGTGAACAGAAAACCAGTGGACAAACTGATGTTCTCTCATTTGACTCACCATCCAGCATCATACTTAACAAACACCAGCCCTAGCTGAGAACTACAAAGTAAACAACTTCTCTGCCAAAGAAAGAAGTACAGCTTACTTGGCATTTCCTACTTTCCATGCTTTTTTGTTTTGTGATATTATGTTTACCTGAATGTCTAGTTTTTAATTATAAATTTTGTTAAAAGCTTTGCCTTTGTCTTAGTTTGACTTTAGAGTCAAACTGATTTTTATTTTTGTAGCTATATAATTATGCCTAAATTGTCCTTGCTTTCTTCTTGATCTAAATTGATAAAAGCTTACAGAATAATTTGCTTATTCTTTTAACATATCTAATCTAGCTGCTTTTGACATTCAGCAATTTTTGCTTTGTCTCGGTGCTTCAGTACTTATAGCTGGGTTTGAATAGAGACCTCTTGATTCTTAGTACAGGGAGAATAACAGGAACTGTAAGATTTTTATGGAAATAGAATCTTTCAAGATACTGTTACAGGAGTACACACTGTTAGGTGGTAAATCTAAAGTTGAAACCAAGTTTTTTCCTGAATGTTAAAATCTATAATGTTTTACTCAAAAGACAACATGCTAATTGCTCTGTAAATGCAGTGATTCCATTTTGTTGCAGCCTTGTTGCTGTTCACTGCATTTCTGCATCCCAGTTGACTGCACTGTTAGTTCTTCAGCCTCCCAGGGATGTGTTGTGATTCTGTGTAGGGTGATCATCTCAAAATCCATTAAAATGCGGTCATATTGGCACTTTCACAACATTTGGATTTAGCAGCCTAAATTTAGGTAGCAATGGATGTGGGTGGATCACTTGTGTTCCCACAGTCTGGGGAGTTCCCATAGATAATATCCTATCAGCTCGCCCCTGAAAAGTAGTTATTATCAAGATTTAAGATGAGGCAAAAGGTTAGGCTCGGTGTATTTAATTAACTGTGCTGTTCTTGTCAGAATTTTGATCATATAGTTTTTAAAATTAGTCCAAAACTTGTATTTCTGTAAGAAGTTAAGTTCTGGAACATTTTCCAACACCTATGCTTCTAAGAGGATAGAAGCAGGGCAGTTGGATAATTTGTTATAGAAAACAGTGAATAGAATTGGCAATTGGATAATTTGTTATAGAAAACTTTGGGAGAAAGATGCTTTTGTTTGTTTTAATTTCAGCAGATAACACAGAAGAGTGTTTGCTTCAGCAGGTAGAGCAGTCAGCTGCTCCTTCTTTCAGCAGGTAGTGTTAATTGGAGAGGTAACAATGATACATAATAAACATGATACACCTTTCAGAGGGGTATTAATTATAAGAATGTGACTAGTACCTGGTTTGTAGTAAAGGTTCTTCAGTTGCAGGATAATACAAAGCCATCTATGTGGCAATTCCAGCCAGTATTGATCAATCTTTTGTCAGATACTGCAGAAATACGTCTCTGCTCTCATGCCGTGCAGTGCTGACTGACGTGTGCATTTGGTTTCTTTTCACAGGTGTGTTCTGTATGCCGTTGTACATCCCTTACGCCCTGACAGGAACATGGCACTTGGGAAGGAGCCTGTGCAAGCTCTGGCTGGTCATGGACTATCTCATGTGCACAGCTTCAGTGTTTAACATCGTCCTTATCAGCTACGACCGTTTCCTGTCAGTTACAAAAGCTGTAAGGCTAACATTTCTATTTATTGCTTTCTACATGTTGGGATTTCTATCAAACTCAGAGCGTTTCACAATTGACACTTTGAGCTAAATGGTGCTTTGTTATTGGTACCATTTTTTAATAAAGAAATTATGATGCTTCAATGTTGTGTTGGGACTTAGGACATTGCCTTGCTGTGATTTCAATGTTACCCTCGTACCACCTGCACTAAAAGTTATTTAATTACTCTATTAGTTACACAGGAGATGGGAAGGTCCAGGTGGGAAAGAGACAGCAGGCATGTGGAGAACTTGGGCTTTGGCCATTAGAAGAGCTGGTGGGGATGACAACTAGGCAGAGTCAAGGATGTGCTTAGGCTTAGATAGATTTTGTAAGAAGAGCATTTGGAGAGACAGTGAGATGGACTGAGTGAAGATCAGATGAGGGTCTAAATTACTGCAGGGGGTGATTGACATGTGCTGACAATGAACAGTTGAGTGGAAACTGATCCCTTGAAGCAAAAAGAAGAATGAATCAAAATATATGGAGAGATAAGAGAAGTCTCTTGAATGTTGTCGTTCTTCTGTTTCAGAAGATAGCCAAGGAATCAAGTAAGAATTATCATTCACCATTTCTAAGCTCTGCTTGGTGTTTGGTCGTAGAATCTGAGAATGGTTTGGAAGAGACTTTAAATATTATCTGGTTCCAACTCCCTGCCATGGGCAAGGACACCTTCCACTAGACCAGGTTGCTCAGAGCCCCATCCAACCTGGCCTTGAGCACTTCCAGGGATGGGGCATCTACAACGTCTCTGCTCAGCCTGTTCCAGTGCCTCACCATCCTCATAGCAAAGAATTTCTTTCTAATATCTGACTTAAACCTACTCTCTTTTGGTTTAAAGCCATTGCCCCTTGTCCTATCTCTGCTTGCCCTTTGGATCCTGGGAAGCTGCAGTCAGGTCACCCCAAAGCCTTCTCTTCTCCTGGCTGATGAGCCTGCTTGCTTCAATGACATGTTTCATATTTCATGCTTCTCATTTGGGAGGTGCTGGTACAGTACCTAATCACTTTCTCTTCTTCCCTAGTGGTGTGGTTTTTATAAGTTGGTTTTTGCTAGTTTGTTGGTTTTTTGGGTTTTTTTAAGCTGAACAGTTAAGTATAAGAATCCCTGTATTTAAGACATTAACAAAGCTGCAGAGCTCAGAATAAGAATAATGTGAAATAAAAGGGCCTCTGTAACCTAGTTGAGATCCATGTTCTTGTGCCATTGCTGATGGTCTCCATTTACATGATCACATTCTGGTTTTCTTCTTTAGGGTATTAGGATGGAATGAGTCTAGGAATGTGTAACAGGGCTGTTATCCAAAGAAAAGACACCATGCTTCCTCAGAGACTTGGGATCTACCTCTGCCTCTGCTGCAAACTTAGCCTGTTGCCAGGTTCCAGTCACTCCAGACTTAATAATTTGTGAAGCTGTGCTCAGCTTCCTGTTTTCTGCCTCTAAATTGAGCTGCTTGTCTTGCACAGGGTGGCAAATTCATTACTGCAGATCTGGAGCTGTGCACAGAGCTAATATGATGCTTCAAGATGTAGAGGAGTCTGAATTTTCAGGCTACACATATTTAAAACAGAGTATCCAAACCAATGTGCATAATCCTGAACTACTGCTCTGATACTTGCTGGTGAAATAGGGACAATGCCCTTTGTGTGCAGTGAGGCCGTGAAGGTGCCATTCATTATTATTTGTGTATCATGCAGATGCTTTTCTAATGAACAGTATTGGAAGCGGATGAGGAAGGCAGCAGTTTTGGGGAAAGCCTGAGATGCCAAATGTTGAACAGTATAGAGGAAATAAAATTGTCCAGCTCTTCATTAACTTATCTTCTTGTGCTATGAAAGATAGAGGGGACCAAGAGTATGAATGGGCTATTGCAGAATGGGCTTAGCTCTTGTATTTCCTAACCCTGGATGATTTTATTTTAATTCTTAATGTGCTGTCTGGGTAGACATAAAAGCATCAAGATTTTCAGTAGTGGAATGAACTGTTTACAAGGTAAGGCTAACATTAAAATAGAGTGATTCAGTAAGGTAGGGGTTGTTACAGTGTATGTCTGGGATAGATTTTTCTGCTATGGCAAGAGGAAACAGTATGAGAAATTATATTGTCTGGTGTTTGCAGTCTCACATGGCAAACTGTCTAATATAGAAGGCTTCTTCTTTTGCTGGGCATGTAGGAACTCCCACAGCTGCTTTCACTCTCTGCTGAGCCTGGGCTGATGAGTCATAAACCTATTTCTTACCAATTCCTTATTGCTACTTTACTGTGTGGTGGAAACAAGATATGTCCTTTCATACCTGGAAGCCAAATGATAATTTAGCCATCATAATTTCTGCTCCTCTCCCATGTCCAGTATTAAAATAAATCACAGAGCTGCAATGTAAGGAGAACAAGACTAGCAGTTTTTCAGAACCTTACATAGAGAGGACGTCCAAGGTGTCTGGGGAAATACAGAACAAATACTATATTTGGCTTGATTACATTTGGGTTTTTGACATAATTTCCCCCAAAATGTTGTCTGAGTATGTGACATGTCCTTTTTCCCTTGCAGGTATCTTACAGAGCCCAGCAGGGAATAATGTCCAGCTCTGCCATCAAGATGGTGGCCATTTGGGTCTTAGCATTCCTCCTGTACGGCCCAGCCATCCTGTTTTGGGAGCACGTGGCTGGACACAGCGTGGTGCCTGTGGATCAGTGCTACGCCGAGTTCTTCCACAACTGGTAC